CCCACGCATAACCAGCCATGAAGCTTCAAGTAGATACTGAGCGCACTACGGCACCAAGTGTTGCGAGTCCAAGATCCCGCAGACCCTTTAAGCGATCCATACCGCAGGAAAAGTCCCTGTTTAGTCCACATAGTGGCAGGGTAACTTTTTTGGTGTTCGACCCTTTGGATCCTAAACCCTAAACCCTAAACCGTAAGCCCTAAACCCTAAACCCTAGACCCTGAACCCCAAACCCTAAACCCTAAACCCTGAAGCCTTATGCCTGCTGTCGTCATCAATCTCGAGACACCCTAAACCCTAAACCCTAAACCCTAAACCCTAAACCCTAAATCCATATACCTTTCGCCCCGTCTAGTGGAAGAAGTCCAGGAACGCCCTACTTGCCCGACACACCACAACTGCGAAGCGCAAGCCTTTTTGGGGTTCATATATAGAATCCTATGAGGTAACCCCAAAAAGGAACTACTTTAGGGCCTATGTAAACCTCAAGCCCCCAACTTCCAGCCGGAAACCTTAAATCCCAAACCTTACTTGGAGGTTCATGTGTAGTTCTTAGTGGAGTCATAAGTAGAGTAACTATAGTTATAACCCATATGAGGGGACGTATAACCCCACTTATAACTACCCATGAACATCCAAGTAAATCCTAAACCCCTTTAGTCTCCACCCTAAACCCTGAATCCTAAACCCTAAACCCTAAACCCCAAAACAACAACCTTTAGCCTCCTCAGGTCAGGGCTCCGTTTATTGGCGGCCAAGAGACCCAGAGAGCCCAATACCCCTTAACTAAAGAATATACCTTAAATCATAATATTAAAAGGGCTCCTTAAAGGGATCTATAAGGGGCTTTGGGTTTAGGGTTTAGGGGAATTAAGGAATATGTTTTATCTCATAATATTAAGGCCCCTATAGTTTAAGGTATATTCCTTAATTAAGGGGTATTGGGCTCTTTGGGCAGGTTGGGTTTAGGGCTGACATGAACACCTGACACCAAACCCTCAGGGGCAATAGCAGTGGTCCGGTGCACACATAAAACCGCTAGGCAGGGAATCCGAAGCCAAGTTGCGTGAAAGGGATGCAAAAGCTGCAAACCACCATAAAAAACCAACTTTGAAACTTTGGAATCTCCGCTCCGCATGGCAGCTGTCTCTACTTCGCGGCTCCAGTAGCACTACCTCAGCAACAGGGCTCATGGGGTCTCCAACTCGCCAGGGTCCTTTGCCACAGCTGCCGCATGTGAGGAAGGCAAGGTGCCCAGGCCTCTGGAAAGGGAGTGCTATTGGTACTTGGTACTGGTAGCCTGGGCAGGGCCAGCTCTGAAAGAGACATGCTGCAGCTTGGCCACCGCCTCCTCTGACACGTTGAGGGAAGTCCGGAGGAAGAACAAGCACCTGCGAGCCCAGCTCAGCAAGTCTCCATGGCCTAAACTGAAGAGCATTTTGGCGCACGGGCGAGTCTGCAGCTTGCCTTCGTGTGCCGAAAGCCGCGACTGGTCTCATCTGCCCACAAAAGCCAGACTGGCTTACTTGGCCGGCCTCTTCGACGGGGATGGCTGCGTCACCACTGCGCCGAATCTTTCCGGATGTCAGCTGATGGTCTCCCAGTCTTTCGACCAGGCCGAAGTTCTGGTGCTCTTTCGCGAGACATTCGGTGGGAGCATCGTGCGTTCAAACGTCGGTGTTGGTTTGAGGAAGCCAATGCTCTTTGGGGGTTGGGGCTTACGGTTTGGGGTTTAGGGTTTAGGGTTTAGGGCTTACGGTTTAGGGTTTAGGTTTAGGGTTTAAGGTTCAGGGTTTTGGGTTGACGTGGCTCACGTGTGGCCAGTCGTGTCGGAGGCTGGCTCAGGTTCTGTTGCCGCATGCCCACACCGAACGTAGGCAGCTCTTGCTTGCTGCCCATTGGCCAGGAGTAAAAAAGTCCGGACAAAGAGAGGTCTTCAAGGATGAGTTACGAACACTCAAGCAGAAGGATTCAGCAGTGCCTGGACCATGCAGCTGGGAGTATCTTGCCATATCTTGCCGGTTTCTTCGATGCGGAGGGCCACATCCACCAGCCAAAGGGAAGAGTTTTACTGGTTCTAGTGCTTGCGCAGAAGCACCGCAAAGTGCTGAGCAGCCTTTGCAAGTTTGTGGCCAGAAGCTTGGGCAGAAATGTCACCGCGGAGAAGTGGTCACATGCTGCATATGCGTAGTTGTCTAAATTAGGGTCCCTTTCTAGGTCCCCAATACAGTACGGCACCCTTATAAAAGGGACCCTAAAAAGGGACCCTAATTTAGAGAACTACCCGTATGAACTGCGGGTTTTGCAGCATCGACGACTGCAAGCAGATGCTGCAACACCTGCTGGAAGCCGGATTGCTTGCCAAAGCGAAGCGGGCAAAGCCTTCCTTGAGCCTGACTCCGGAGGATGCCGCTGAAGTCAGTTTAGGGTTTAGGGTTTAGGGTTCAGTGCCCAGCTGGCGGGGCCTGACCGGGAACCAAATGTTTGTGAAGGGATTGGACACTGCAGGCCAAGAAAGGTCGAGGAAGATCATATAATATAATATAATATAATATAATATAATATAATATAATATAATATAATATACAATATAATATAATCTAATATATAATATAATCTAATATACAATTGAATATAACCTATTAAATAATATAATATAATATATAATCTAAGCCTGCTGCCCGCTTCAGCCGACAAGGGCTGCACGCAGAAGCTAAAGCCAAGCAGCGTGAGGTTGCGGTGCTCAGGAAGGAGCACGAACTCGTCCGAGCCTGTTGCGACAACCCAGCAGCTGCTTGAGTACATGAGCAAGCTGCAGAGCTTGCACGATAATTCGTGGGAAGGGCCGATTGCCCACGGCATGTGATGAATCCAGCTGGCGTGCCCAATTCAAATCCCTCTGTCTTTCGATGAACCCTAAACCCTAAACCCTAAACCCTTAACCCTAAACCCTAAACCCACGGCTGCAGCATGTGGCGTATATCCAAGGCTTGGATTCAGGGAGAACTGGGTCTGAGGATCGCTTCGTTTCTCGATTTTGGCACAGACTTCGAGGTCCCATATCGTTGTTTATGGTTTAGGGTTTAGGGTTTAGGCTGAGTGTTTAGGGTTTAGGGTTAGGGTTTAGGGTTTTGGGTTCACAAGCAGGTCCCGCTTACTCTTGTAACGTTCCTGCCCGTGTAGAAAGGATCGGTCTTCAGTATCGACGGGGTTTTGGTGGTCGCCAAACTCGCAGTCCTACAGCCTAAACCCTAAACCCTAAACCCTTAACCCTAACGGAGCCTGCGGCCCTTGCACCCCACATTCGGAGTTTGAGGCCCTCACCAAAATCAAGTCGAAGCCCCTCAATCAACCCTCAAAGCGCCGCTTCTCGATACGACATCCTTATGTTTAAGTTTGTGAGCGTCGTCAGCACTTGGAGGTTCATGGGCAGTGGGGTTATAAGTCCCCTAATATGGGTTATAACTATAGTTACCCTACTTATATCTCCACTTGTTATAACTACCCATGAACCTCCAAGCTATAGGGCCTGCTTAGAGTTTTAGGTTTAGGATTTCAAGGGGGGAATCGGCCCATAGACAAAAACCTGTATTAACCACAATCGCACACATAAGATATTTCCCGCAGTTTAGGGTACTTCGTGTAATACGGGATGTTCTAACGAACCCCCTAAAGCGAAAAGCGACCCTATGCTAACTACTGAAGCCCTTGTATATTTAACCCTGGCCTAAGGTCCTTGTAATACCCCTACGTGTGGTAACCCTTGTAGATGCATGTTAATAAGGTTCCCTTCTAAGGATCCCTGTTCGAGTTCCAATGGTCTGGGCGCCTAAATTCTTGTAGCCTCAGCCATCCATTCAACAGTAAAGGCAGCCCTACTGAAGCAGTCAGCACAGATGAACCCAAAGAGCCCAACGTTATGCTATGTATCTGCCCTTTCATACTTGTAGCCCCAAACCCTGCACAAAAAGTAGGTTAGTCATAGGGTATACAAACCCTTACAACACTCTGTCTTGGAACCCCCAGGTAGTTCAAAGAATGTAGTTTCCGTTTTGGGGGATATATACTGTGATGATATCACAAAATGCAGTATATATATATATACATGATACAAATAAATACAGAAATAAATAAATACATACTTATATTATATGTATATTGTATACCATAATGTTATGTATATCTTGGGCTCGATCTGGCAGCCTTTGATTGCAGCCTTCGCAGTGCAAGGCCCGAGCTTCCCTCGCAAACGCGAGAAGCGACGCTCACGGGTGGATTCCCTTGAGGCTTTACATAGAAGGGTTCCCTTAAATAAAGGTCCCTTTGAGGTGGTCTATTGTATAAGGGTTACGGTAAAGGTCATCATCGAGGTCTCAGGGTTCCCTTGAGGGCATACTTCCTGCCGAAAGCGACACCATGGCCGCGGTTTCCGTGACAAACGATCTGCGCACCCCTATCGAAGTGAAGCTTCGGAGTGGCGAATGGCAGGTCGTGTATCCCCAGAGGTCTTGGGATGTCGACATGGTGGATGAAGTGACCACCTCTGTGGAGATTCGATTGCGAGAAAATCCGGCGTTGAAGGGCAGCTGCCTGGTTTCCAATGGCTCCCTCCGTATCTTAGCTTGCCAATGGGAGAACTTTAAGCTTTTTCGCTTTTAATTTAATATGCTTGGTCTAGACCTCGCTAGAATGCTTGAGCTTTGTTGGGCCTGGTCATAGAAACCCGAAGCTCTAAACCCTAAACCCTAAACCCTAAACCCTAAACCCTAAACCCTAAACCCTAAACCCTAAACCCTAAACCCTATACCCTAAACCCTAATCCGAAGAAAGGAATTATGGGCCTCCGTGGACTTCGAAGCTTTCAGCCGAGAGGCGAAAGGCCGGGACCGCGCCGAGGCCCGGGAGTTGGCCCGCGAAGGAAAGGTTTAGGGTTTAGGGTTTAGGGTTTAGGGTTTAGGGTTTAGGGTTTAGGGTTTAGGGTTTAGGGGCAGGAAGCCCAGATGCGGACTGAGAAGATGATCAGAGAGGCCGCGGCCCAGAAGCGGAACGCGGCAGTAATGAAGAATCTGCGGTGTTCGGTTCCAATTCTCGTTGGTCTTCCGTTTGTCCTCCTGATCCTTTGCGTTGCAATCCCGCCCGGAAGTGCCCTTGCTGCGGCACTGTTGGCGAGCGCCACGGTGCCGTCGTGCTTCTGGCTCAGTGTTTGGACTGTTGCCGCTGGGTCGCGACATGAAACAGATGACTATCATTGGGGAAAATACACTGTCCACGTCCTTTTTGGCGTCCGGATTCTGGGGTTCCTCGCGCTGGCTTTGCTGCTGCTGATGACGGTCCAACACGCTCTGCAAGGATTCCCATGGACTGCAGCCATCGTTTGGCCTGTGCCCTTGTTTTGTGGCGGCGGTCTTTTTGTCTTATCGCTGTTTGGGCCAACAGAAGCCCCGCTGACCGAGCACCAAGTTCGCACCCTAGAACGAGAACGCAAGTCAGCCCAAGGCGAAGTCAGCAACCGTACCATTCGCTTTGAAGGAAGCGTCATCCACGAACGCGGGCGGCCTTGCGTGGCCAGCTGGCCTGGGAAGTACGCGGGAGCGTGGGAATCCCTCGTGTCGCAAGGGCGGAATGGTGATGTCAGCGCAGCAGTCGTCTTCCTCCCTCAAGGCACGGATGACTACGGCAAGTGCGACAGCATCCCACTGGCTGAAGGCTTGCCCGGCACCTGCTGGTGCACGCCCCTCTACGGTGAACAGAAGCGGTGCAGGTGGTTTACCAAATGGACTGAGAACATCGAGACAGCAGTGGAGTCCGGAGCAGAGCTGGAGGTCTACTTCTTCCAGAACCACGTCGGCAAAGGCAAGGTGGTGAGCTTCGATACCGCAGGCGACGACAACCTCCACAAAGAGAAGGTGAATAGGAAACAAAAGGACTTCGAGGAGTCTCCTGAGTTCAAGCAGGCGCTGGACGCAGGTCTCGGCAACCTCTCCAAGGAGCCACGTGGCGACGGATCCTCCCAGTATAGCCGTGAAGCTCGGCGCCTGTTCCTCGCCTCACTCTCGGAGACAGAGCGCGAGTATCTGGCCACCTCAGAGGGGCTAGGCAACTCCCAGACAGCCGAGGTCGCCTGGCTGGAAAAGAAGGGCTACACATACTGGGAGGTGGACGTCTCCACGTGGCTCCCCGGAGAGGGAGTTGAGAGATACGTCCCGCTGTGTGGCGAACGAGAACCGCAGTGTTATGGCCGGCAAGACGACTTTTCACCAAGGAATGAAGATATTTTTGAATCGCCTGCGCCGGCATTGCCCGGCGCAATCTGCTGACCTGAATCCGCAAGGACACGGCCAGCAGAATGACGTGTCACAGATCTTGTAATTTCGATCGCCACAGAGTAGAGAAGAAGTTTTGGAACAGACTTGGATTGCAAAGATGAAGCAGCCTGCAAGCCGTATGTTGGCAAAGTATGGCAAAGTGCCGGTCAAAACAAGGCACGAACAGTGCAGCAAGAACCTGTGCCGACGGCCCTGTGAACTACCTTTCCTAAGAGCCCTCACCTATCATGTCCCAGGCAGCACTAAAAGCCCTAAACTCTGCGGGGTTGTAAAGGCCAAGGCATGCTCAACAACAAAGATTTGCATTGCGAATCGTGTCTTGCATTGAAGTTGAGACCGTGGCGCATGCCGAAGGGCCACGTGCCACGAGTCCTACTGTTGCTTGGTGACTTGTTTTTTGCACGTATTTTCAGTCGTGACACGCCCCCTCGGCATCACGATAGCACAGAAGTAGGGTCTTTGGGCCCAAAAGCTTCAACATATGACTCCTATGACTGGTAAGGGTCCCTCATCTCCCTAAAGAAAACCAAGCCAGCCCAGGTTTTCGACTCGGGAGGACGTCTCCGAGCACTGGGAGAGGTGTGGAGGCGAGGACAGTGGGCTTAGGGTTTAGGGTTTTTCTTTTAGGGTTTAGGGTTTAGTTTGGGGTTTAGGGTTTAGGGTTTCGTGGGGTTTTGGGTTTAGAGGTAAAGGTGGAGGGTTTAAGGTTTTGGGTTCATGACTTGAGGTTTGGGGGTTAGGTCCCGGGAGGTTGAGAGTTCTAAAGTATTTGACCAGGGCTTCAGGGACTGATTTTGTGAAAGGGTGTACGGGTTGAGTTTAGACTCTAAACCCTAAACCCTAAACCCTGAACCCTAAACCCTAAACCCTAAACCCTAAACCCTAAGCCCTAAGCCCTAAACCCTAAACCCTAAACCCTAAGCCACAAACCCTAAACCCTAAACCCTGAACCCTAGAGTTTAGGTTTAAAGTAGAGAGTTTGGGATGGTGGACCGGGGTTCAGGGTGCAATGTTGCTCGGCTTCGGGCTCTGGGCCTCTCAGTGGTTTAGGTTCAGACCCTAAACGTTTAAAGGGTTTAGGGTTTAGGGATTTCAGGGTTTTATTAGGGTTTTTAGTTTTTTTAAAGGGTTTTAAGGGTTTTTAGGTTTTTTTAGGGTTTTTAGGGTGTTTAGGGGTTTTTAGGGTTTTTTTCAGGTTTTTAGGTTTTTTTTTAGGGTTTAGGGTTTACTTGAAGGATTGTGGGAATTAGTAACTAGGTCATATACTCTCGCTATGACTCCTTGAGTTTTTTCTGGTTTTTTTTGACGGGTTGTTAAGACGTGCGATGCCTTGTCGATGTGGGCGCCGTGCTCTTCAGTGCAAGGGACCTTCTCGCTGTGGGTGTCCTGTCAGCTGCGGGTGGGCGGTCGTGGCTCCAACCAACACCGCGGAAGAGATCTCAAACCTACAAAACAGTTCAAGGGCTTTAAGGATTTAACGTTCAATCTTTATTTTGAAGGAAACTACAGGTGGGGAGTTTAGGGTGTATAGGGCTTCTATAGGGCTGCTATAAGGAACATAGACAAGTATAGTTACTAGGAATACTGATAGCCCCAATTAAGGTATTTATAAGCTTGCTTACTAAGTCGCCTGATCCTCCAAGTGAGGTTAGCTTAAATGGGGTATGTGTGCGCATAGGTGCCTTATTCAAAACCCTATTTACTAAGTCCCATGATCCTTTAATTTCAGTAAATCTTGAACCGAAGCCCCTGAACCCTGAGTAAACTTAGCATATTTACGTCCCGTGATCCTTCAAGCCCTAAACACCCCTAAACATCCCTCATTGTTCCTTTCGTGGAACCCCTCAAAGGATCCCTTATAGTTCCTTTTTCTAGAACCGTTTAAAGGACACTTCAAGGAGCCCCAAACCCTAAACCCTAAACCCTAAACCCCTTCAAGTTGCTAAGATCCCATGGCCCCCCTAAAAGAGGGGCCCTGTGAAGGTCGCTGGCTCCCCTCTCTTGGGGCTCGGGGGCGGACCTCCAGCTGTCCCTGCGGCCCAGGCGCACGGCACCTTTAGGGTCGAGGATTCCCCAAAACCCTAAACCCTAAACCCTAAACCGTACACCCTAAAACCTACACCCTACACCCTAAACCCCAAACCCTACACCCAATTCCCTAAACCCTAAACCCTAAGACTCGAGGACTGTTGGGCTTTCTTCCCAAACCCAAAGCCCCACATCCCAAACTCGAAACCCTCAGCCCTAAACCCGAAACCTCGAAGCCTTAAACCCTAGGGTTTAGGGTTTAGAGTTTAGCCCTACAATACCAAACCTGTAACAGACTTCAAGCCTTAAGCACCAGCTTCTGAAACCCGGGCTCAGGGAGGGTTTGACGTTTTGGGGGGCCATGGGATCCCAACCCCAAAGACCTAAAACCTAAAGGGTTTAGGGTTTTAGGGTTTAGGGTTTAGGGTTTAACTTCAAACCCTAGACCCCAAACCTGAAGCCCCAAAACCCTAATCCCCAAACCCGAACCCCCAAACCCGAAGGCCTAAACTCCAAACCCTTAACACTAAAACCTAAAACCGCAATGTAGGGGCCTTCATAATTAGAATAATGTTTGTGGGGTTCCTTACTATAATAACAGCATACTACACCCCAAAACCCTATTCTAATTATTATGGCCCCTACATTAGTCCCGAAAGTCGTAGAGGCCTGAACCCCATAGTACCTGATAGATCTCATATAGGAACCCAGTATGAGCAGCCCGAAACCCCGACATCCTAAACTCAAAACCCGAAACCCTATAACCCCGGAACCCTTAAACCCTAAACCCTAAACCCTAAACCCTAAACCCTAAACCCTAAACCCTAAAAGAGAAGGAACCCTGGAACCCCAAGCCAATATACGTAAAGCACCCCTTTTGGGTCCCTCAGAACTAACCTTGAAAGCTGCTTTAAACGAGCCTTAGAACCCCCCTAAACCAAAAAACCCAAAACCCTAAACCCTAAACCCTAAACCCTAAATCCTAAACCCTAAACCCTAAACCCCTTATCCCCAACCCTGTCTAAAGGCCTCATGCCTGGGCCATTCACCACATCCCGTTCCTCCGGCATCTGGCCGAGGAGTAGTCGGGGGTTTAGGCGTTTTGAGGGGTTTTTCAGGGGTTGTTTAGGGTTTTCATTGGGTTTAGAAGTTTAGGGGTTTAGTTTTTTTTTGGGT